GGAGCTATACAAACTGCTTGACCTTAGCTGGCGTCAGTTGGCGCCACTTTCGTCACCACTTCTTTTCCAACTTCGTAATGCCACTTTCACTTTCCCTGCAAAAAAGGGCAAATGGGGGGGGGGGCTTTCATGAACGTAAACCAAAATTTTTTTGGCCTAGAGGAGAGCATAGCTTAAATGGCGCAAGTGCCACAGCTATTTGAGTATGCCCTCCTGGCAGGCGGCAGGTTATTACAACAGATTGCACCATTCTGCCCAACAGATCATTACCGAAGCGCACAGGCTGCGATCCGTGACGAGTTCACTTATTTTCTTCTCAATCCTACTCCTTGCTCTTGTATTTCGAATTCTGTCCTATACATGGCGTATCATAGAGGAATTGCTAGGCTGTCAAAGTCCATTTCTCAGGTTTGATTGTATTGCGCAGCACCTTCTTCAGCACGTTTTTCATGCATTCCTGATTATTGTATAGGTCTCCTAACAACCTAGCAACTGAACAACCTAGCAACTGAGCCTCGTACATCAGACTTGAGCTTCACACCACCTCGGCGAGTAAGACGACCCGACGGATGGCTGGCTTGGTGATGCCTTGGATATTGTCGCGAAGAAGTTTGCGATGGCGCCGGTAGCCGCTGCTGACTTGCTAGCGGCCTTGATAGCCGACTGCTTTCTTGGGGCCTTGCCACCAGTAGATTTACGAGCGGTTTGCTTGGTACGAACCATTGATGCTGAGTGTTTGGAGCGGACTGTAAGCGCTATTGAAATCGTGGTCGATTTCACGGACCGGGCGTTGAGACGGAGATTTGCGGATGAGCAGCTCGGTCGACTTCTGATAACGACGGATTTCACGAAGAGCGACTTTACCTGGACGGTATCAATGAACTTCTTTACACCACCGGTAACCGTGCTGATGTGCTAGCACCTTGATAGCCAGCTGCTTTCGTGGGGCCTTGCCACCAGTAGATTCACGAGCGGTTTGCTTGGTACGAACCATCGACGCTGATGCTGAGTGTTGGGAGCGAACGGTAAGCGAACCGGTGCCTATCGCCTTTTATACGCTTTTCGCGTGAGAGGGCGGAGCCTTTTCGTAGGTGACCCTTGCTGTGCTTACCCCTCATCTTTCTTTTAGTAACATGGTTGCAAAAATCCTACGCACGGGTGTAGAAGTCCAATTCTACTCACATTTATGATCTATACAGGGGGGTGAGGGGCAACATATCAGCAAAGTTTTCGCAGCCCAGAGAGAAGACGTGGATACGAGTACCAGGGCGGAAGATACCCAAGATGTTCCTCGATAAGCAGGAGGTGGCCTTCGCCCATCACCTTCATGTACACCAAAATATGAGGTCTTCTCCAGTCGCAGCCTGACTGGATAAGACCTTTGGATTCCATGTCACCTCCAGACAGCTGCGAAACTTCTAGTGTGAAGTCACCCATGGGTATCTGCCTGGAGACCAGTACTCTCAATCTGGAAGACCCTCAACATCGAGCAGCTCCGACAACGTCTCTACGGTCTAGGACATCATCTTCACGGCAGTCGCCAAGGCATGGGTCTGTGGTATGGACCGGACGCACCTGGAATGGAAAGACCAATATTGTCTTCGTGGACCGCGGGCTAAAGGAAGCTGCTTTCTGAAAACTTTTTAAACTGTTTCTGAAGTTCTCGGGATTCATGAGATCTCGCGATGGGGATTTCTTAGGGAACACTCTCAGCTGCGCGAAAAACCCGTTCCCTGTGTACCGTTTCAAGTGAGCGTGTTCGAATAACCAGGAACGCATGAAAAACGTATCCTGTGGTGGAGCAGGAGCAGAATATTGTTCGTTTGCGCCGATCACGCTGGCTTTGGATGCGCCGCGCACTGAGGTCTGCGCAGAGGTGATGGGATGGTGTAACTTGTGCGCAATGTCTGTCCACGCGAGCAAATGTGTCTATAGGGTTCAGGGAAGTTCACGGCGAGCCTGTGCACTTGTTTACAGTGTTTTCCGTTGCGTATGATGGTACATGTCCCTGTCGACGCTGCCAGATTCATGTTCCGACAATTGCTGACTCCGATGAAGGAGATCAACTGCTGGAAAACGACTATACGAACGATATCGTAGTCCTGTCGCTTGTCGAGAAAGAAAAAGGCTGGCTCAGCGCCAAGCGCGACCGCGGACACGCCAAATCATTGGCAGCGAACCAGAGTTTCAGTTGTACTGTTTAGTCACGGACTTACGAAATGATGTCGTACTAATAATTAAAAATAGTTATTTCGGATTAGTTGATGAATGAAAGTTTTGTACTATTTGCATATCCGAGTTCTCTACAAACCAAGTTTCGCTGTACAGGACTCAAAACATTGACAATTTGCTCTGCTCGTTACTGGCTTCCGCACTCACTACGACTCCCCCCTCTCCTGGCGGCCAAATACGACCCCCCTAATGGAGATTCCCCAACCAGCGATGTGCCGTGGTCGAAGAAACCCTCGCCTACCTGGAATGCGAAGGGGGCTGAGTACCTAAAGAAGATGGAATATCCAAGTAGGTCATCTGACCTGAATCCCCTCTATCCCGGTTCGGGCGAAATTGAATAGGGTGGCCCCACAAAAGTTATGAGCAAAAGTTGGCCGCACCAACTAAGCGTGTGACCGCTGTAAGTCTACGGCATAAAAGCCGTCGAACTGAGAGGGTTAGAGCGACCATGGTGGCGTAACGCACAGCGAACTCGCCTGAAAAGCGTGAAGTATCTCTACCCTCTCTTGGAAAAATCGCTCTGATGACTCATCAGAGCCGGCCGTGCCGGCTTTTGGAAAGACCGCGCTGATGACTCACCAGAGCCGGCCGTGCCGGCTGCAGCCGGAACAGGCCAGGCCGGCACATCAATATGTATGTGGCGGGCGGGGCGGTTTGGGGGGTGGGATGGATAAGTATGTGCTCTAAAATATACCTATGATTGTGAAGGTTTTTATAGATTTCAATGCCACTGAATCGGGGTGTAGGGTCGACACAAGTGTGAATTCTCGACAACAAGTTTTTGCACACACTTTAGGCTGGCCAGAATCAAAATTTGGCCGGAAACTCATTTCGGGGAGTATTTTGACCCCCTGAGCGCGGTAATCACATCCGTTTAAGAGGGTTTCCCTCGCTCATTTGATGACCACAACAACGTAAAACGCTACAAACGTCGCGCTAAAGGATATGATACCCGTTAATAGGGGGTCAAAATACCCCAGGAACGAGTTTCTGGCCAAATTGTGATTCTGGCCAAAACTTCGATTTGTCGTATGGGTAATGAGTTCAGAGAGGACAGATAGCGATCTCGACGCCTGCGTCACATAGTTGCTCTGATCTACTTGCTCTGCTGGGTCATAAACTAGGAGAGATTTCAAAAATTAAGGTGAAAGCTCTTAAAGGAACGGAGGAAAACTTTTCGCGCCAACGTGATGCAAATCTACGAGCATTTGGCTTCGAAACGAGACCATTACCACTAGGCACTGCCTGATGACCGATGAGCAGCGCTTACGAGACAAAACCGAGTTTTCTCAAACTTTGACCGCCCAGAACTTGTCTGGGAGGTCCCCGTATCACTTTTAAGCTGCATATTAGTAATCTCCGAGACTCTATTGATCTAGGTTTCCATTCAAAGTTTTATGGGAATTTCATTCCCTTGTTAGTGACCTTTCTGTCATCTGTTGATCTGTCGATTTAGTCACTTAGGACAGATTTGATCTACTCCGAAGGCATCGCATTGCTTTTTTTGATTTTCTGTCGATCGCTCGTTTTTTGTCTACTTGATTCTTTTATACTTTGTTGATGATCAAAACGGTCATCGAGCTCTATTACGAGGTCGAATAAGGCCAATACAAAGTGAGTCAGGCATATGGCATTTATCTAGAAACGAATTATGATTTGGCCCTGTGGGGCTGAGAGAGAGTTTTCCTTCGCCTTTTTTCTTTCTTTTTACATATTTTTGAGGCTTAATAAGTTTCACCTGTGTCGCGAATTTCATCCCAGGTAAGGCGGCTTTTTGAATTCTTGGAGATTCTTTTTATGTTTCTCCGTTTCTGCTCAGTTCTTCTGTGATCTGCCGATCTAGTCACTTCAGGCAGATTTGACTGACTCCGGAGGCATTGAATTGCTTTTTCCACTTTCTGTCGATCCTTCGTTTTTTTTCGCTTACTTGCTTTAATTCCTTTTAACTTTTTGTTGTTTTGCTGCTTAACTAGCAGTGGGGATAAACATTCTAAACTGCAATAATATGTGACAATATATAATACATGACAATGCGAAATAGAGAATGATGTCGTGTATTGATGGGCGTGTCGCGTCTCGCACGGCCAAGTTTGACTCCTTGGAGATGAAGAGGTTATGGATGTGGTGATAACGATAGGGTATTGATCCTGAAATCAGTTTTAAACCTTTCCTGAGTTCGAACTCTTAGTGTACATAAAGTGACCTGAGCTCACCGGAGGCTTCGGGTTATATCGACCGACAAGCGACACTCACTGTTACTTTGCGGTTACTTTGATTCTTTGGTATCGTTTTATTTTAATGAATTCATAAATACATGGCTTCACGACTACCCTGGGAATAATATTGGAGACATCACTTAACACATTCATAAGTATGTAATTGATTTGACCGGCATTTGAAACGGACCATCTGTGCTTCGGAGTGTTTTCTTTTTTTCCATTTTTTTATTTGTTTTCCTTTGTTTCTAATTTGATATTTTCCTGGAAATCAAATATGATTTTGCTGCTTAGACAGTTTTTGTTTGCTGTGGTACCTTCACAGGAACGGCTCTCCCATACTATGTCTATGTTGTGCTTATTTGTTATCCTCACCACACCTAATATTCTTGTTGCTGAGGCTAAATATCAGCTCTCGTGCAACGAACCGACTGTTCTTTATTGGCATGTCGGCGGCCGGTGCAGTTTCAGCAGAATCGTCCTCACTATATTCATAATTGTCTAGTCTCATCTGGACACTGGCACATCATGAGTGGAGATGTGTTTGCGTAAATGCGGATCGTGATTTTCATCACGTACCACTGTCATGCGCATAAGATTTCATTTAGATTTGCAATGCAATTCATGCAGCTATGTAACGTTATTGTGGTGCTGGTGCTTCATTGCACCAGAAGTGGATCATCTCAATTTGAAACCTTTCTCTCTGACAACCCGCACAACCCGCCACAACTGGACGAACAATTTGCTACAGAAATGAGACGGAACGGACTTCACGCAGAGATTGTGGGAGAAGTGGCCGATGATAAGAGTAATTGTCGGAAAATGCTGATGGGTGAGCATTTTGTCGACGCATGTTCACTGAAGTCTATGGACCCGCACTATTACAGACTACACAGCCTATATTGACGGGACAGTATTTGAGGCGGCAATCAAGCCAATCGAAGAAGAACTGATGACACTGAGTAAAGGGACGATTTTCAATGATACTCTCAGATCCACGGTCAGAATCACCATCTAGATTGCAACATTTAAGTAGGTGAAATCCTAGATGTTTTAGCTATATCGAAAGATGAAGGCAGCTGCACTGGACGTCCACGAGGTGCGGAATTACTGACAGAATTTGTTTGGAATGTATCGCGCCTCAGTACCAGTCTTAAGGTGATTCTCAGACAATGTTTGGTAGCCCTATTGACCAGCAATGAATGTTTAAAGATCGATGCAAGCGCGATTCCGGACTTCTCCTGTCGGACATGTCATAGGTATGGCACTCGGACAAATAACGAGAGGTCTGGAGAATAGTCTTGAAAGGAGCAATCATAGACAGGTGAATAGTAATACTGGAATCGTAGTTTGACCATAGCGCATTTACGACGGTTCAGGTCATGGAGACGCATTCGAAAAGTCTCATAGACCTCCTTGCCTGGGCGAGCAACACGATTACTCTGGAAACGTACAGGTATGCATCTGAATAAGCAAAATGTGGTGCCGTATGTAGCGAGTTTGAAGGATCACTGGCGGGTTTCAGCATTCGTTTTCAACAAGGACTGGTATCAGTGATGCAGCAGCTATACGGAACAGTGGAACACACGCTCACCAAACTGTTCAGTTTCGGCAGACTGACACAGCGCATGATGCAGATGTCCAGTGACCGCAGTGTAGTGTCAGTAATTGAGCAGCTCATGGGAGAAAAACTGTTCAAAGAATCGCTGCTAGCATTACACGGCAGTAGTGCACTGGAGGCCGTGAAAGCTACAGTCGTTGGAATGAACGATAATATGATGGAGATGGAGGTGAATGTTCGGTATCAATATGTTGTACAAGTAGGGAATCCTCTGTCTCAGATATGCTATCCGACGGCAACCCTCTCTGATGTAAAATACGTTCTCCACGTCGAGCCACTGGGACAGTTTTCCTGGAACATGAACTCGTTCTGGACGGATAATGTTGGGCAACGTTATGCGGTAGAGAAAGAACACGAGAATGCAACGTTGGGCTCACTCCTGTCTATGCCAGACGTCAGTTCGTGTCGGAAAATATCGACAGTGCAGTTGTGCAATTTGGAAAAGCAACCGTCAGGATGTGGACTCGTGATTGGAAATAGGCATGGCTGTCATCGAACTGTATACAACTCGACGGACGAAAATGTAGGTTGGTTTTTCATCTAAATGGCATTTGTAATCATCGACTGCAATTACAGTTCACCCTAGTTCGCCCAATCGCACGAAGTCTAGTCATCGCAACAAGAGCGAAAAGCATGTTCTTGACATCAGAGTACGAAGCAGATGATTGGGAGGCTATTGAGATCAAGAGTCCGACGTTCGCTGTGGACATTCCGAGGGGAAAAAGGTTGATGGTTGGGTCAATGAAAGTCCGTTCACGTGTTGATCAGGAATCATGCGACGGGAAGCTACGCATCATAGTGCCGGTAAATGAGTGTTTTGTTCAGTGTCATTAACTCTATATGCAAAAACAGTATCAATCAGGAGACGCAGTACTCGCCGGTTGAATCGCTATACAACGAATGGATGGGAACGTGGACAAATGGATTGAATATCGCAGTAATATGGTTCTGTTTGGCGGTCATTAGTACCACGATGGCAATCATGATACGGGCGATATTGAAGCTTAAAAGAAGCGTGAGCAACATAATAAGAGCGCTGGAAGATAACGCCCTATGGAGGCAGCATTTAGATAATTATCGATTGCCAGCGAGTACGGCACCACCTATGGAAAAGAATAGTTTTAATAAAGATTTATACTGACTTGATTCACTGAATGGAAATCAGGGGAAGTTCCCAGTATACTTGTTGTGGCCCATGTATCCACAATGCATTTTCACAATTCTGCACGGAAGTGTGGTTGTAATTAAGGTTTAAGCGATGGAGCAAGGAATAGTAAATGTTCCACCACAAGACCAGAATGTTCCAAGAAACATTCGCGAGAGAAGGAGAGATGTTGTAAGGCGTATTGGAGACTTCGCGAAAAGAGTAATCCCAGAAATGGAACGTTCTGGAGAAATAGCAAAGTTGCCTGTGCAGCTAACTGATGGCAAGTATCAATAGCGTACTGGAATACTGGTGCGTCAATCCCAAACCTTTTCATTTCAGCCGTGTTTTACCCAGCTGCACCAGAAGATGGGGTCCGATTCTGTGTGGTTTGCGGGAAGCACGACAAATTTCGGCTTGACAGGCATCTGAGCGAAACGCATAGGGTTCCGAAGAGGAGTGAACTCTATGAGGTGGGTAAGGCAAGCATCTTTCGTGCATACATTTAAATACACATGTTTGAGGCCTACCAGCAAGTGGGAAGAGGAATAGTTGACAGGATGACTAAGGCATCAGTGGATCTAGAAAAAGTGCCCTCACCACATCAACCGGGAGAGTGGCTAATTTATAACGCCTTCGTACAACGGTTACGTGAATGCGGCATTCCAATACTGAATGACGTAAGTAGTAAATATAAGTTGTTTGATACCTTTTTCTCATCACCTACAACCTTACACAGCATCTCGTTCAACAACCACCCGCACAACAGCGACCACCACTTCGACGACCACAGCACCGCCGTGCTAGAGAGGTCGGAGACCGCCGTGCTAGAGAGCTCGAAGAAGCAGCAGCGATTGTCGAAGAAGTAGAAGAAGCAGTACCTGCAGTTTTAGAAGAAGTAGTAGCTGCAGTTGTAGAAGGAGAACAGCAGCACATAAGAGAAGCCGGAGAGGGAAGGGCCATGGAAGAGGTGAGTTGAGCAGCACCACATCATTAGTGACATGTCAATGGCAAAATTTGTTCCAGGATCACCGACCAGCGACACGTCAAGGACCATCGATTCCAAGAGAGCAGCTGTGCTTGACGGTTACTGTAGCTGAGGATAGGCTTTATCGAGGTCCACCGCTCAAGCATGCAACCACTGGCATAAGTGATAGGAAACGAAGTGTAAAATTTAGGTGGTCCAAAACCCCATCCAGCGTTCTTGGAGGCACCTTACAAGACGCTCATGTTTGCTCATGAAATGGACGTATGGAGAGAGGAAGAAGATTATTACGTGCAGACGTTCACGATTCCACCACAAAGCCAGCGTAGTCTTAGTGAGTGGAATTAAGCCGGATTTCAACAAGCATAAATTTTTCGAGTTTCCCTTATTAAGGATGGATGCACGGTGCTGATGCTGAATTGAAGTTGTGGAGGAAACTAATCAATGAACAGCATCAGATATTGAAGGATTTTGCAAACGCCATGGTTACCACAACGGTATAGAAAATACATTGAAGTGAAAAACTTTTTATGTAGACAGTTAACTTCTAGTCGGTCCCGGTTCGATTAGAGGGCGGAGTTCAAGTGTTCCAAGAAGTTCGCAACACGTGCAAGTCCTACGTCAGCAATGTGGAACGATTCATGCTTGTTGCAATGCGTTCAAGGAAAAGGTCAGCACAGCATCGCGAATCGACGTAGCAGTAATTGCTTCATAGTTATTGTTCAGATTCGGCGAAACGGTATCTGTGGATGATGCCATATTCTCGTGTGATATTGTCAAGGAGTTTTTTCGTAGACTCCAAAATGCAAGTGTACCAGTTGGCGTACGTTCCATGTTCGCCAAGGCCATCCTGTCGTTTTACAGGTTCCTTCAAGAAAACATAGGCACAGGTATGTGCTGATTGAGCAGAGAACGTTTTTTTCCCTATGAAAATACAAGAGTTTTAGCTGCTGGAATTGATCGGATTAACGGGATCCAGCAAGCAGTAGCACTTGCTGAGCGTGAAGTGAACAGATTGAAAAATGAGAACGAAATGTTGAGCACATTCAGTGGGATTTCTGCTGAAAGAAGATTGCAGGTAACTAGAATGCAAAAACGTCAATGATTAGACTACGCTGCTGAAACATTTCCGATTGTAGTGACCTGTTCAGGAGCTGGAGCGATACTGTGCAGTGAGAGCAATCGTGAAATCGAAGCGCATAGATGAAAGAGTAGCATATATGGTGCAAGCATTCAATGAAAACGGATCCATAAACCATTATAATTACAACTATGTGATGGGGTATCGTAGTTTGACGTGGTGACGTCGCAGCATGAAGCATAAAAGAGTATTGTTCAGTGCTATCATGGCGTATTTGGTGCACTGCAACGCCGCACGAAACGAGCTTTGTTACAAGACTCGTTATGGCAACATGTGTGGAGCCGGCGAAGGATGCAGCGGACTAGAACCGGTGGAACACCAACATATCTTGAGATCGGAGCAATTTTGAGTCAGTGCCTTGAAAATGGTGTGGTCGTCAGTGTCTTGAGAATGGTGTGTGTGATTTGTAAGATCATATTATAAATTCAGGTAGGAAGATACCCCCTACCAAAGCACCACCATAGGGTCCGAGAACCGACCAGCTGGAGCGGTGGCTACTTTGTTGTAGACGGAGAGTGTAAAAAATGGCTTGATTCCTAGTGTAAGCTGCGTGAATAGTGCGTTGATAGTTGTTGGTGTCGCTCATAACTGATGTAATCTGGCAGTGATTTAGCGTATGCGGCCAAAGCAACATCACAGACGCAGAACACCCTTTGAAGCCGTTTTTCCTCCTCTACAACGGAGGCAGCATGACGCCGGGAAGTGCACGACGTCTAGTGACGATTTCTTCCGTGTTTCAGGATGTGGAAGTGTTGCAATTAGTTGTAATCTGGTATGTTCGCCTCGCCATATCGCACTGATATGCAGTATAATTATATTGATTAGTTTATTTATTATATAGTGTAAGTGTGTTCGTTCAGACAAGGCGTAGTGTTGCTCGTATGGAGTACGAGAAGTATATGGAAGAGAAGATGAAAACCTTCAGGCCTATTGCGGATCCGCACATCGCCAGGCTGCAGTGTGAGTCATAGTTTACCTTTATCTGGTTTATTATTCGGAAGGAAGGGAGCGATCTGAGATCAATTTCTTTTGTTTTTTTCTTCTCTTTGTCATAGTTTTGTTTACTGTTTGGTTCCGAACAGCTGTACAATTGTAATGTACAATGTAAAGAACGGTGAAAAAAAACTTTTGACAGCTCACCGGCAAAGGACACAGGAGGAGATTTATGTGGAGCGATATCAAAAGTCCTGTGTGTATGGGTATGTGAAGTTGAGGGCGCTCGCTAAAGAGGAGTCCAAGAAGAATGACACGATCAAAGCGCGTGTCGCAGAAGTGAAGCGGATGGTGAAAGCATCGTAAGCACATTGATTGCTTATCACAAAGGCAACGCATGTGTATGACGACAAATTACAGCTACTTGACCGGCCCTGAATTGGAGCAAGCACGGAATGTGATCAGAATCGACGACGAGGATACGTCTGAGTTTAGCGAAGAAAGCTTGGATGATGCTGTAGGCGATTATCGAGATTTGGCTGGACTGAGTGAATCAGGTACGACGGGCTACTTGTGCCATATGTTGTTAGGTTAAAAGAATGTTCAAAGAGATTTAGATGCTGACCAGCCTTCAACATCCACAGGGTTGCGTGCCAGCAAGCGAAAGAAGATTGAGCAGAACAGGCGATGACGCTTCTGGGACGCGAGCAGCGAGAGGACAGGAACAAGAAAGGCGTAGGAAACGCAGAAGTCCACGTCCAGGACGCAGCAGAAGACCACCGGCTGAAGAACAAGAACGAGGACAAGGAGGAGAACAGGAAGCAAGAGGAGCAGAAGATCGACCAGAGGAGCGACAAGAAGAACCGCCAGTTGAACCAGAAGTGGAAGAAAGAGAGATAGAGCCAGAAGTAGAACCGCCAGTTGAACCAGAAGTAGAAGAAAGAGAGAGAGAGCCAGAAGAAGAACCGCCAGTTGAACCACAACTAGAAGAAAGAGAGATACAGCTAGAAGAACAACCACCAGTTCAACCAGAAGTAGAAGAAAGAGAGAGAGTTCCAGAAGAAAGACCAGAAGAAGAGCCACAACTCACTGAACAGTTCATAAGGGACGTGTTGAAGCGCGGCGCAGAGGCACCGAGAAAAGTATGAGAAGCAGTTGAAGATTTTAATGCGTGAGCGTTATGCTTCACCACTGCCAGATCAGCAGATCCCACAAATGTCGTGAGGTACATGCAAGAGCTGAACGACAAACCTATACAGGAGGACTGGGATACTATCGTAGTGAGTACGAGCAGCAGTGTTTCGATCAACGACGCCTAGCTCAGCCGATTCAGGTTAATTGATTGTATCCCTGCTACATATGCACATGATATGCACATTCATTTAAGGACTTTCCTTGGCTCGAAGTGCGCGATATTCCTAGCATCAATGGACGAGGAATATTCGCTAAAACTCGCATATTGAAGGATCAAATTGTTTGCGACTACAGGTGAACTGTCTACGATCCTGCAGCAATCGGCATATGATAAAATGAAACTCTCTTTAAGGGGCCTATTTTTGACTGTGGAAGCACGAGACAGGATGCTAGAGCATATGACCCGTGAAGAGTCGGAATTGGTTGGCGACTATGAAGTTAGCTACCTGGGTAAGCATAGCAGAGCACAAATGAACTTTAGTACAACATCAGGCAGCATATTTCAGACTATATATACGATCCCAAAGGCAAGGCAGCTCGACAGGCGCAGGCATACTCAATCCTTGCCCATGATCCCATATACAAGGGCGCTGTAGTACTGGGACGTCTATTCAACCACAGTCAAAAGCATGCCAACCTCAAATATTGGACACCTACTCGCTCGTTTTCGACCGACCAGGGAAAACAGAGCGAGCACATAGTCCTGTTCAAGGCCACACGAAACATAGAAGTAAGTACTGTTCTCCTTTACCCACACTATAACACCCTTGGTAACTTCACTATTTACGTATCGGTCGTTCAGAAAGGAACACAGCTTCTGTGGAATTACGGCTCCCTTTACGGAAGAACGACTGAAAAGCGTATGGATTGTTTGTGTTCAGAGTGCAGCGAAAATTTGGGTCAGCCAATACCATACCACTATTCATATTGACTGATTTCACGATTCGTCCATTGCAGAGTCATCAGAGAAGCTTGCCGTGGACGTCGATGTGCCCACGAGAATGGGCGCCATGCCACCTGACGACGACTCTTATTCGCAGCAAATGGCCATTTCACCAGAAGAGGAGTTGTTCGACGTACGGCGCATCGTCACTGCACACAACGTCTTGTGTTCATTGAATGTGAAGACTCGTGTGCCGGGCTCATCGGTTCGAGTCGCCTTGCGGATGTGGGCGACGCATATCGCCACAGTCGATTGATGTTCTTGGGCCAAGAGGTTGGTCTTATCGATTTAGGCAAAAATATTGTGTATTGTTCTACTGTGATCATCGTTTAGGACGGCTACCCACTTTCGGAAGATGACGGCAACATTCCACTGAACGCAAATGCGCTACTCCAGTTGCTATGTGTTGCGCATAGAGATGCGTATGGAAAGGGAAACCCTGTGGTATTGCTACTGAAGCACGAAGAAGGAGGAGCGAGAATGCGTAGGAGATCAGTGGGCGCTGTCCTGGTAGTGGTCTTGTTGGGCAACCTAATCGAAGCGGTTGAGAAGAAGCGCTATGGAAATTGTATAGTGTATGACGACGTGACGAAAGACTATGAGGTTGTGGTAAGTGTAAAATTGTGTAGGTGTCTTTCTGCACAGAACGCAAACGCCAGATGTCCGTTCCAGGTCGAGCAAACTGGGGACAAGGAACGAGAGAAGTCACTGCTGCAGACGTTCGGCGAGGCACGGCTCTTCTACTTTCCCACGCTCATTGAAGAAATGTGGACGAAGCTCCGCAGCAACATTAACATTGATGTCAAGGACGCCGTAAAGATCATGGACGAATCTGACCCCATTAGAGAAGTGCGGAAAGTAGTGCAAGAGAGGTGTGGTGTCAAAAAGTAATGTATATATGTATAGTTTATGTATAGTGTGCAGTAGAGTTAAGTTATTGATCTCTGTAAAGACGGGGCATACTACGGGTAAATCACCACATACGGGTAACAATCTCCATTTACACGGTAACAGTCTCCATTTACGGGTGATGGATGAAGGGGTATGTGTGATATCTAATAAAACCCTCCTTATACGTGTACCTTACGGGTGATCGGAGTGTGATATCCGCCTACGGGTAACAATTCCCTTATACATGTACTTAACGGGTAGTGGATTCTATACGAGTAGACATGTGTTTTCAGAAATGTTCCTATTTATTGTAAAGTAATGAAGATTAATATCAAAATCATGAACTCACCTTACAAGCAGAGTAGTTTACTGAATACCTGAAACACAAATAACAACATGGAAATGCGGATTTACGAAAAGGCTGTTTCGCCCTCTCAACCACAGACAGCCAAGTGCACAGATGGGCTCATCAGTGTGGTCTATAGAAAAAGCATATTTGGTAACATTTTCACACCCACAAAGACAACCACGCACCACGACTCACACACACGTTCACACCATACCACCCACGCAATGGAATGGGAGAGGAATGGAAGGAATTGCTGTAGAGCTGACGAGAAAGCTGATATGGGCTAGAATCCTCCAAAGTTCTGCCGCAATGCAACGTCCCGTCAGCAGAAAACAGCATTTAGATTGAAGGTCTAGTAGAAAAAGAAAAGCAAGCAATACAGTAATAGTATATGAAAAACAGGAGGTGTGCGAAGTGCATCGGGTGAGGGGACGGCCGTAAACGCAGGGTCGGTGGCAGCAAAACAGCAGAAAAAGGTTATCGCTAATTTGATGGAGCGAGCACAGCGCTGCATAGGACCCGGATGTAAAGAAGTGTAAAAAATATGAAAACAATTGTTTAACAATTTGAATAGTTTCAGGAACTCGTAAGTATGCAGATGATTAAATAAACATCTCAAAAAGTTTCGCGCGCATTGACCTTTCCAAACCGTGAACAAACATCTGCATAGGCAAAAATCATCTAGAACCAAAAATCACACCTTCACCTTTGCGTGGAAGCAATATGCACGGCGCACACTAAGACCAAACCTTTAGATGGCAACCTGTTCCCCTCCCACCCCTGGCCTCTCAACTATGGAAAAATCAATCATGGAAAAAAAAAATTCTCAGACTAATTACGACCCTCCCCCGCCTCCCTCGAGTGACGACTCCCCTGTTGGGGAACACCCGACGACGCAGCGTAGTCTGAGAGTGACACGAATGACGCGAAAGGAAGCACAATGGTGTTAGTACACCATAGATCTGTGAGGAAATCAGTCTAATCATGCGCACAAGATAAAACAACAGCAGCACCAAGGGAAGCAAGCAGGCAGTGGTAGACACACAACAAAGAGGCTATACTGTCATCAAATACATTTATAAGAATTTATAAGAATCCCTCACCAAAAGTAGATAGCACAGCAGACGAACGAGCAGAATGAATCGGAACACTCTTTGGGCATGGAAAGGTAGAAATTATAGTGGCGAATGAAGATTTTACGTAAGGCCGCGTTCATACATGATGCAGAAATGCCGAGCCACGGAATGTGCAGTACTGCGGAATTTGCAGACGTGCGGAATTTGCAGAAAAAGAAAATATGTCTATCGATTTCAAAAACCGTGGAAAATGCAGAAGTGCGGCATTTGCAGGAAAGAAAGATATGTCTATCGATTTCAAAAACCGTGGAATATGCCATATGTCTATCGATTACAAAACCGTAGGAAATGCAGAAGTGCGGAATTCGCAGAAATGCCGATGGACCGATCGAACCCCATCACTTCCTTGTCCGTCATTTCTGCAAATTCCGCGGAATTTGTCGTCGTGCGGAAGAAGCAGAACCTGCAGATTCTGCATTTCTTCCAATTCCGCACGACGGCAGGGAAGAACCAGGATCCCTTCAATTCTTAGTCCGTCATTTCTGCATGTCGGCAAATTCCGCGGACTTTGAAGAATTGCAGTTTTCAGATCGATACGTATATATTTCCTTTCTGCGAATTCCGCAGTTCTGCATATTCCTGAGCAGCAAAGGGTAAACCACGGAATGTGCAGAACTGCGGAATTTGCAGACTGTTGAATCTGCAGAACCGCGGAACTTGCAGAAAAAGAAAATATGTCTATAGATTTCAAAAACCGTGGAATATGCAGAAGAGCGGAATTTGCAGAAAATGAAAATATGTCTATCGATTTCCAAAACCGTGGAGTATGCAGAAGTGCGGAATTTGCAGAAAATGAAAATATGTCTATCGATTCCAAAACCGTGGAAAATGAAGTGCGGAATTAGCAGAAAAAGAAAATATGTCTATCGATTTCAAAAATCGTGGAAAATGCAGAAGTGCGGAATTAGCAGATATGCCGTTGGACCGATCGATCCCTATCGCTTCTTTGTCCGTAATTTCTGCATGTCTGCAAATTCCGCAGTTCTGCATTTTCCGCATTTCTGCACCATGTATGAACGCGGCCTAAATACACGAAGGGTAGCCGTGTGATTCTAAAAAATAACGAAAGCGAAAATCTTGCAGAAGATGGGCCTGAAAAAAATCTTCGCGACATCCGAGACGGTAGTGGGCCCTATACACGGATGCGGCTTATACCCAGGAAAATACGTGTTCATTGCAAAAGAAGAAATGGATATACCAAGTACGTAAACCTCAGTTCTGACAGAACTGATGTGATATTTCGTTAATGCAGTGTAGAGAACTGTATAAACCCCCACTTTGCTCAACATAGGGGGGTTATATAAAAGCCCACCGTTCCCAACAGCTATTCCACTACTTTGCTTATTCCTTCTTCTTCACTTAACAAACGACCGTGGCAGATAGCGGAATAACAAACGACAAAAGGGAAACCGCTACGGAGAGAGAAACCGCGGCCCACTTCGGCTTGGAAAGGTCCTTTTGCACTTTCGCTAGTTGTCATTGCCATAAAGTAGATCTGTGTCATTTTGTGAGGCTACGAATCGATACCACTTGAAGATTGTAGAGATCACTTGTCAAATCTCTTTAAAGAATGGCTGTTAATACATGTAAATAAGAAAACACGACGATAGGATGCAGCGAAAGTGCGAAATACCCCCCCCCCCCCAACAAGCGGAACTGCGCCGAAACCGCTATTGATTATGCTCAAAATGCTGTAATTTCACCGAGGGAACACAGAAAGTTACCCGAAAGCATTAAACGAGCACGACTGGGATCGCGATTTTCACATGCGTACGTCATTGAGAAGAAGGAAAAAAGTGGAGGAAGGGTCATCTGCTCAAAACATTCAAGCTTTCGGAGTTTGCGGGCTCGCTGCAAGACTCACACCTTCGTCGACTAAGTGCAACACTTCCGCTTGAGCAACCTAGTTTTTCGAATAGACTTCCGCTGTACTTCCGAAAACTCGTCAGCAATTTGACGCCCCCTCCCCTCGTCTGATGTTGCCGATTATTTACATTCCATTTATTCGACCCAAGGAAATCATAAGTTTTGAGATTCACCCGCGATTCATCCTCTTAAAACCGGACACTCGAAACTGGGAAAATATTCTTGATGGTTGATGTTCCTCGCTTTTCCCCTTTCGCTGGCGCTGTGCATCCCCCAGCTCCTCGATAGCCACTTTTTGGTGGCATTCTTCTTCATACTGCAACACAAAGCCGCAATGATGAACGAATCCCAGCAAAAATACGAACACAATACCCGAGACAAAAAAAAGCTTAAAAACAAGGTAATCTGCCACAAAATGGCCTTCGACAACTATTCTCCGTCAGCTGTAATTTCCAGTCCGTAGACTGCACAATTCACACTTTTTGCGCGTCAAAAAAAAAATAGGAACATTCATCTTGGTAAGATCTTTTTTTTTAGCATTGGCAACAGCCGGCATTGCCGGCTGGGAGCCGGTATTGCCGGCTTTCGGCCTTACCCATATA